ATGGCTTTTTGTGCCTGTTCTCTGAGGGACTCTAGCTTTTCTTTCTTTACCTCATAATATTCTTGTATACTCTGGAACTGCTCCAAGTTTTGTTGACTTGATAGCCAATTTCTTCTTGGTTTCATTCCAGTTACAATCTTGAAAGGAGATGCCTGTAACGCTTCATGCTTTGAACTATTATGCACCCTTGCTGCTAGTTTTAATAGTTCATCCCAGGTACTCTGATTGTCGGGATCTAAATATAGAGCTAAGTATTTGTGGAGTTCTCTATGGGATCTTTTGTTCTGCCCATTGCCTTGGGGTCAATATGCAGTAGTCGTGTTAGCTCGGGCACCCAGGAAACTAACCATATCCCGGAACACACTACTTACAAAGTTTGTTCCACGATCGGTCAGAATGCGCTTAGGGGCGCCAAATAAGCAAACCCAATCGGTCAAGAAAAGTCTTGCCGTTGTTTGGGCAGACGCGTCTTTCATTGCTGAGAAGACAATCCACCTGGATAATCTATCCTGTATGACCAGTATACATCGATTCCCTCTCTGGCTGTTTGGGACAGGGCCCACCACGTCTACACTAACATCCTCAAAACAATTCTTGGGGATACCAGTACTCAAATAAGGGGTCTTATGGGCAAATTGCTTGGTTTTCTGGCATTCGGGACAAGTTCTTACATATGCCGTAACATCTTTTTCAATATTAGGCCATGCAAATTCTTCCCGTATTGCATATGCTGTTTTATTGATGCTGCAATGGCCCATAGATGGCGGGTCATGAAAACTGGAAATGATCTTTTCTCTAAGAGAAGGGGGTACCCAAACACGTTGTCTTTGAACAGTTTGTTTCATCAGGATTCCGTCCTGTATTTCGAAGTCCGTTCCAAAAGGAATTTTTCCCTTTAGTGAGGCTGTTGCTCTCTGTAAAAGACTTCGAGACACATATGGGTTTAAGTTGGTTTCCAACAAGGTCGGTGACAGATAAGCATTCAGTTTTTTGCTTTTACTGTCTGGCCGGAAGCGGCTCAACGCGTCGGCGTGAGGTATTGACAATCCCTTTTTGTACTCAACACGATATTCGTATTCGTTGAGTTTCATGAACCAGGCAATAGCTCGGCGGCTATCACTCTGTCTTTGGCGACTCAAGTAAGGTATCGCAATGTGGTCTGTGAGGATCACAAAGGGATGACCCCACAGGTATGAGTGGAATTGCGCCACACCGTAATACACAGCTAACAATTCTCTATCGGTGTTAGGGTATCAGGATTCCGCGTCATTAAGGGTTCTGCTGGCACATCCAATAAGAACTTCCCTCTTACCAGGTTTCTGCGTTAAAACCATGCCAACCGCAATAGCGGAAGCATCTGTTGTTAGTATGAATTCATGGTTGAAATCAGGAAAGGATAGAATAGGTGCGGAAAGCAGGCATTTTTTCAGGCAATCTACGGCGTCTTGCTGGGCTTTTTGCCATTGGAAAACTGTATCTTTTCTAAGTAAAAGGTACAATGGTTTGGCTTTCAGCGCAAAATTTTGGATATATGACCAGAAATATCCTACTAAGCCTAGGAAGGCTTGTACTCCCTTTACATCTGTGGGAATAGGAAAATTTTGGATTGCTTCAATCTTTGTAGGATTTACTCGAATTCCAGTTTCACTGATTAAAAATCCCAAATATTCTATTTGTGTGCGGAACAGCTGACACTTGGAGAATTTAACTTTCAGTCCCGCTTCATCAAGACGCTGTAGAATGTCGGATAAATGAGTGAAATGTTCGTCAGCAGTTCGCGAGTATATAACAATGTCGTTGACGTAGATATAAGCATAAATTCCCAAGCACCCATCTAGTACCAAATGCATTAACCTTTGAAAAATAGAAGGGCTATTTTTGAGTCCCATAGGTAAACGAATAAATTCGTAATGTCCCATGGGCGTCGAAAACGCCGTTTTCCATCTTTCCTCTTCACGAATCTTTATATTATAAAACCCGTGAAGGAGGTCGAGAGCTGTAAAATATTTAGCATTCCCCAATTCCTTGAAAATTTGGTTAATTCTAGGTAAGGGATGCGCGTCCGTAATAACATGGTCATTCAAACGCCTGAAATCTACAACCATCTGCCACCCACCATCTTTTTTCTTCACCATGAGTGTAGGACTGTTGTATGGGGATTTCAAAGGTTGAACTATTTCATGTTCAAGCAAATCTTCCACAAATTCATTTACTTTTGGCCTCATTCCATGCAGAAGAGGATACTGTCTCGTAAAAATAGGTTTTTCGGTGTCCAGAGGTATATCTGCTTCATACAATGGGCACAAACCCAGGTGGTCGGATTTCTTTGCTAGAACATTCTTGTATTTCCGTAGGAGATTTCGCAATGGTTGTGTCAAATTCTCGGGGCATTCAGAAAGTTTAATGTTCTCGTCTATTAACTGAATCAGATTCTTTTCTTCCAATTTTCCATGAAGTCGTTCTAACTTTTCCTTGTCCAAAGATTTTGGAGTGATTTCCTTAGTTGCTAAGACTAACGGGGGTTTCCCCGATAATTCTAGAACATCAATAATCTCTCCAAAAGTAGCTATGGCCAAAGTGTGTTGAGGCGATATATCAATGTCCTCATCACCTACGTTGAGACATAAGACTGGATAAGCTCCCTTATGTTTTCTGGAAATACTTCGAGCCACTATCAGATGGCCGCAAAGGCCGTTCGCCACATACAAAGTACGTGTACCAACTTTCTCAGCTGCCTTTTCTGATAGCTTTGCAAAGAGAAGTTTTTGTGACTTCCTCGGGATTTTTACTGATTCTACTGGATACAAACGGAATGGTTCTGTTTCTTCTAAATTGCAAATACAAGAACATTTCACTTTTTGTCTCTGCATTGTTTCCGTCAAGAATGACACACGCATCTTGTTTAGGTGCATGCACCATTCTCCATACAAAAGTTTGGCATGTAACACTTTCAAAACATCAGAACCAAGAATCCCCTCAAACTTCATGTCCATGCATTGGGAATATTACGAATCGCGCTTGAGTTAGGAAGAGATTGTTACTATACAACGTAATATACAACACTCTGTTAACCGGCATTTCTCTACCCTCTATGGTGGCAATAGAAATATTAGAGGCTAACAGGGTGACTTCCGATTTTAGGGTATCGGGTGAAAGAACAGAAATTTCCGAACCTGAATCCATAAGGAATTTTGCAGGATAGCGTGTGGCATCAGTGGCTAGGAGGATAACTGGTAACTTTGTGCTGGTAGCGGTTGAAGTCCCAGTCAGTATACTCGTTTCCTGAATACTGACTTGCAGGCTCGTTGATGTAGCCTTCGGGTAACAGTTCTTCTTCCTCTTCTTCCTCTTCTGCATTTTCATTGTAATCTTTGCCTTCCTCTACGAAATTTACTGAACGTTGCCCAGCACCGCATCCTCGTCCCCGCATATTTCCTTGCAAATTTCCGCAATAGGAGGAGCACCCTCTCTGAGAGTTCGCGAATTTCGGCGTGCGGCCATCCCTTTTGGGGGCCAAATACACTAATTTTTGCGTTGTAGGCTTAGTCGCTGCCTTACTCTGCGCACGGCACTCACTTCGAAAGTGACCCTTCTGGCCAAAACTATAGCAAATGGTCGCGGATCGAATATCCGGCATTGTGTTTCCACCATACGCACTCGGAGGGGTTTTGGGACGCGATTGGGAAAGTTGGTGTAGGGCAGAAGATTGAGAGGAATCTAGATCCCTCTCTCGATCCTCCACAGAGATAGCAAATTGCAGGGCGGTCTCAAAATTGTCAAAAGTAATTCGTATAGCACTGGCAATTTTGGGAACGAGTCTGTCCATAAAAGTCAAGAGAAGGAATCCGTCTAGAAAGTCCTGCTTACCTTTATACTCCCAGCATTCCTTTACGTAAAAAGGATTAGGCAGGAGGGCAGCAGGTTGGTTTTCCCGACAAATTACCTTTATCTCAAAATCATCAAAAGTAATTTGTATAGCACTGGCGATTTCGGGAACGAGCCCGTCCATAAAAGTCGAGAGAAGGAATCCGTCTAGAAAGTCCTGCTTACCTTTATACTCCCAGCATTCCTTTACGTAAAAAGGATTAGGCAGGAGGGCAGCAGGTTGGTTTTCCCGACGAATTACCTTTAAATTGCCAGGGGCGTCGCCTAGGAGAAAGTTACCGGCTCGTCTGACTCTAGCCCCAAAAGTCTGGACTTGCTCACCGGGAGCCTGTCTCATCCTCTTGACGTCCTTCATCAAATTTGTCAGCACTTGCCTCCCAAACATATCCTGCAACGTCTTCACTATTACTCTGTAATGGGCTGAAGTAAGCCCTTGGATAGACATTACGTAAATCTGCGCTTCACCCCAAAGCTTACTCAACAAGTTGGATCGGATGCTCTCATCCAAATAAACGTGGTCATACAGGGCACTTTGGAAAGTTGCCCACCACTCCTGCCAATTCAGGGGACCACTCCCATCAAAATACGGAATTTGATTCATCGTGATTGAGGCCTGTTGAGTACTTACGCTAGGCAATCTGGACTTCTTTAAATACTCAACATTGTAGAAAACTACCTCATCCGCGCTAGGCTCTGTAATTTGGTCAAGACTTAATTCATTCGCCACCAGAGCCTGTCTGATTCCCATACCATCAGCAAAATTGCGCTTTTTAATTTTCAACTCCTCTTTCAGCTGTTTTGAAAACAACAATAGTTGAGATTCGTCGATAGCCTTCTTGTGGAGACTTATCTCCATTAGATTAGGTTCGAGGACCTCTAAAATTGTCGTTACGGTCGCCAACGGACTGTCAGCTGCTCTAATATCTTCAATTCTTTTTCTGAGCACATCTTTCACTTCTTGGGCAGGGCCAGAGTTGGCATTAAGCTGACCTTCGAGTTGCTCTATTTCTTTCTCTAATTCCTTCTTTCGCGTAGCAGCAACTTTGGCCTGCTCTTTTGGATTCATCTCCAGAAGTTTCCTATCCACGACAGCGTTCACATCTAACACTCGCGACATGTCAAGCAATGAGACGTTCGCGGCGGTGCCAGATGCCATAGCAGAAAATTCCCCTACGTTCACTGCTAAATTCACTTTTTCACAGACGCCGTATTCAAAGGTACTTTTTGCGAGTACCTGCAGAGGTCTGGAGCACTTAGTCTTCTACTATTTTTCTTCGAAGCACTTTTTAGCTATTTAGCTTTTGCTGTAAGCACTCACCCGGGGTAAAAAGGAAATCTCGGCTGCGCCAAATTATGTTATCCTTATTTTAGAAAGATCAATAAAAGACACTATTGCAGTTCAAGAAGAACGTATTCTTCTGGACGCGATTAATCCAATAAAGATTTACTTTCCAAGAATAAACTTTTGTCGAGAAGATTTCTTTCCTATAGCCCGAGTTTCTAAGTGAATAAAGACTTCTCGTTATAAAGACGTGAGTTTGTATATTTTTATGTGACTGCAACAAACGCCAGACCAACAATGAATACCAAATATACACTTTGTGGACCTTAAATAGATTCAGAATGAACCAGACATACATGATGCAATTCAGTCTGGAAAACAGAAATGGGGACGGGGAATGACCACAAACCAGACACTGTAAAAGTACGCGTCATGACCTCCTCAGATTTGGATCTGAGTTACCAGGCAGAAAGTATTGTTACGTTTCGGGACGTACCAAAAGTATAGATAGAAAGCGTCATTATAAACCTGTACCAGGACACTCATATTAATATTTGATGACAATTGTGTGTCTTGATCATCCATTACATTTGAATTTATCTTCAAAGAAGAATTTCTTGCAGCTTACCATTAGTTTTTTATGAAGACAAGGAAACAGACAACTCGCTGGTTTGGCAATTTAATGTTGACAGAAGCGTCGGTCCAATGAAATGCGAAAAAAGCGCCGGATCCGTGGATCCATTCCATTTTCCCACTTTTCCCTCTTCACCTGCTCATGGCAGTTCCCTTTTGCAGGACACATGTATAAAAGATGGCCCTCCCTTTCAACTTGGCATGCGAAAATTCCGTGAGGGGTCTTATGCATTCTGAACGCAGGTCAGGAAGGCCAAAATGTCATTACATGATCATTTGCAAAAGGATCAACGAATTCGTGCAAAAAAGGGGTTGTTGGGATCAGCGAAAACGCACGATATTAAGTATATTTGATATGGAGTGGTGGATCCCGAATTGTTTTTTCTTTCAAAATTTGCAAGTCCTGGAGAATTTCGATTGAATTACGCGTTACAGGGAAAAATTCGGAAACCTCAAGATATAAGGTTTCGTTTGTCCATCACTGATTTCATCGAGGCTCTTCAGGTACTTATTTATACATAATATTGCAATTTCAGCCGGAATTCCAGTAATTATCTCATAAAATTAGGCTTTGTGCATTTTCTCATCAGTTTATCAGTCTACACTTTCGATTAAAATATTTTTGTCTTGTGAGCAACACAGTTTTTAAAAGTTGAATCCTCAGACATCGAACTCACAGCTGCTTTTTTGTTGACTAAAATCAAAATTTGACAATCAAGTTTATTCTGTATTCTTCAATCCTTTTGATTTCAGTTTGAACACTTTGAAGTAATTTTTCATTCAGGCTATCGTTAGTTAATATTTGTTGAGGAATTAATCAACCCAACATAAAGAATTGAACCATAGCACAGTGGAAGAAAAGGTGGGAAATAACAAGGCAGGGCAATCAGCCGGTTTGTGGCCAGGAATATGTAATTAAGGGGGTACCTTAATTACATATCCCTAGTTTTGTCTGGTTTAATCACAGTCCACAACAAATCACAATCAAACATAATATAAAAATAATGCATCACAATAAATGCAATAATGCAACACACATTCAATGAAGACAATACATTTATGCACACAAATTTATGGTGCAATAATGCAATGCAACAATATTTAAAACAGTAAATTAGAATGAGATTAATTGAAGGTTATTTGTGTTTAAAGGGCCAATCAGAGGATTCCTGTGGAATTAAACGTATATTCTTGAATATGCACACTTGTATTTCAAAAAGTTATCAAATGTTTTCATGAACATTTTGGATTTTGAATTTAAATTGATGAAGAGTATGTCACTCAAAAATATCTGCGGAAATGACACTATATGTCTGTTCGTCAACGTTCATGGTCTCGAATAATTACATTCACGTTTAAAAAATTTATATTGATTTTTAATTGGAAACATGCATTCGGAAAGGCGTTTCAATACTGAGGTTATACTGACTACTGGAAAAGGGAAAGAAAGATTCAAGTTTCCGAAATCATTGATAATTTTTAAATTGAGAAGAATCTGAAAAATGTTTGCAATGCTGACTACATGAAAAAGTGGGAGAAAAGGTCTGGGATACAGTCGAAAATACTTGTCGGAAACCCATCTGAAATTCCTTTCTCTAGAACAAATACCAGCTGGTTGAATGAGTGCGGTTAATGAGTTTCCAAATATTGATACAAGTGAGACCCCGAGATGCGCATGTAATTGGTGCATCAAGAGCTCAAGTCAAAATGTCCCTAAGTTGAGTCTTGTTCCCATACATGTACAGTGTTTACTTTTTAATTGGTGCTTTGTGGAAGAAATATTCTTCAGAATTCCCTGAAAAAAATTGTTTGCCACTTGAATTTGGATTAGTGAATACATTTTCAACTCAAAAAGAACATTTGGAGCATTGAATAATGTATCTCTGTACTGTACACTGAAATTTTGGCATCTACAGAAATAACATTCAAGTGAAAAAAAGTAGAAGCCCCTCTATGCTGGAGGTAATTTTTTTTAATTAGCTAAATGGATGGTAATTTGGTGAGAGAAATGCCCAAGAACTTTTCTTACATCAATTTTAGGGTTGGAAATATCTGTTTCTTGTAATTTGGCCTGNATCAATTTTAGGGTTGGAAATATCTGTTTCTTGTAATTTGGCCTGATGTGTATTTGCAATTTTCTCACAAAATGTCCATATGTTGAGTCAGTGTCCTCATGTTGGGCCTTATTTATTGATTTTTTCTGGGAAAGAAAGTGTCCCTATGTCGAATCGTCCGCATGTCGAGGCGTCCGCATGTGGGGGTTTCACTGTATGTTTAGAATTTGAAGTATTTCATGGAAAATTTTCAACACTGGCCAAGTCAAGAACATTTTTTGAAGGAAACGCCCTTTTTTCGGGGCGGAGTCGATGGTTATCGTCGCGCTGTCGTGACGCAACGTGTCGTCGACTCCGCAGTTTCAAGGTCGTCTCTCTGCTGTGATTCTATCGGGGTTATCTTGATTTTTGCAAGCATGCAACCCCTCCTGCATGCCCCTTTTCCTCTCCTTTACTTCCTCGGCTTTTATTTAGACACCACCGGATATCGATTATCGCAGACGACGATGGGCTTTCTGCGCGCCGGAAATAAACCAGGAACCAGCAGGACGAGGCAATGTGAAATGCCCCGCAGTGATTCTCATTGATGGACATCAATGCGATTTCGTTTTAACCATAACTTACCTACACGTTTTTATGTCATGATCATTGGCATTTCATTTGTCAGTTGTGCTATCAAATTATCCTCGCAAAGTTTGCGTCTTTTTCTGCCTCCGATTGCTCCTTTTGCTGATCTTATCATCAGGTATAAAAGCGACTTCATATATTCAAATGAGAAGTTTTGATTTGTGGTACTCTACTTAAATTTTTCTTCCGTGGTTACTAAACGTTTTTCAAACAATTGGAAACAGCATTCAACGCATTTGAAATTATACTGTGTAGTATTTCTGTATACCTGATATAATCGAATGATTCGCTATACTGTATAGCCAATTCTTTTGGCGAATCAATTTACAAATTCTAAGATGTGTAGTGTAGTTTCATGTGTTATTTTCATGTGTCTGGGAAATGGTTTTGACTCGCAAGTGAAGAATATATGGGAAAGCTGTTTCAAATTTATCGGCAATCAATTAAAGTAACTCAAGAGAGCTTTTTGAATTCCGGGGCAAATAGCGTTTCTCTGCATTTTCAATCTCAAAATAATTTGTACTTTACTCAAGTGATTTTTAATGTATGTTCCCCTGGATCTCGAATAAATTTGCAATCATTCTTTGGAACTCGTAATTTAGTCTTCGATTACCAATGCATCAGAGGTATTTCCTCACGCTCTAAAATTACTTGTTATTGTTTGAACCAGTCTAATTTTATTGATTTATCTTTTTAAATAGTAGTGACCGTCTTTTAAAGTATTTATTAATTTAGAGCGATCAATGCGGAAGTCGGAAAATTGCCGCCGCGGAAAAGCTGAATAAAGCAAATTTGTCTGCACTAATGCACGCATTATCGACGTTAGGAAGAAAGTCAGACAACTTCATTCCGTCGAAATTTGTGCAGAGCAGGAGCTCATTGAACTCAATCCATCAAAATGCAAATGTTGATGTGCAAAATAAAATGAAATGAAAAAGCACATTGTGCTATCAACGTTCTGCATATATATGTAGCTGTTCCTTTCGAAATCGATTTTAGATGAATTTCAATTTTGGCCTCATGCATTTTCTTGCCGAAGTTCATGTGATCCGGGCGCAGAACTCATCGCCCTGCCATTTCAACGCGGGGCATGCAAAAAGTTTTGGGATTTTAAAAAGCGTGACTTGGGTGTACTGCAGCTGAATTCCTTTTCGAGTGAATACAATGAAAATCACAACAAAGGGAATAAATCCTGAAATGGATAAAATGGTCCTTGAAAATTAAGGTCTACGCTGTTTTCCTGTTTATAAGGATTCATGCCAAATTCATAACGTTTATCAAAACATTAAAATATATTGGAGACTTTACGCAGATTTCGCCGATTATATTTTCAATAATGAATTTTTCATGGCAATGATCTAGATGGATATTCTGACTCCATCCCATGCAAAGAAGTTTTACTTTTTTGAATTTTCTGAGATTGTATCTCGAGCGATTGAACAGGATTATGATGAAAATCTTCTGAATTCATCATTTAATCTCACTTTCAGGACAGTCGTGCAAACTCTGCAAAAAAAATACATTTTAAACTTTGCATTTCAAAATGCTTCTTCCCCAAACCGAGGAAAAGTTGAGAAAGATTCAGGCGACACTAAATCTTGAAGCCAGGGTATTTAACTTGAAAACTAATATTGCCAAACAAATCAATATAAAAAATTCAGAATGTTTAGTTGAGCTGTTTTAAAATTGCTTAAAAAGGCTTGCTTATTTTGTGATTTGCCCCCGCTGTAAAATTCAGCGTTGAGCAACGCTATATTCCTTCACGTAACCACCAATAAAAGAGAGAACCACCGTTTGCTTGAAAGCTTGGGGTCAGTCAACTACACAGCGCGAACCCGGGGGTTGCTGTGCATAAACCCGTGGACCCAGGTCAGGGCTCGGGCCAGACCTGCGCCGGGTACCCGTCGGACGTGCCCCGTCATTCCGCACTTAGCTATAGCGTGATAATTAGAACCCTTTCCGATGGCCTCGCTTATTCACCCGTAGAGTTCCTTCAACACTATAACGTCGGATGCTTCGAGACTATTTGGAGCTTGTATATACTCAGGTTCTTTAAGGTGACGATTTTGGTCATTATTCTGATTGAGAGTGATGAATTATTGATGGATGATGATTTTGATGAAACAGGAAGCATCGAACTGGGATCGGATTGAGTTTTAGTCAAAGGGTGATCGACAGCAGCGTCGACAGCAGCAGAAGAGCCTCGCCGTCCAGAGAAAATTTGTCAGCGTTTGAACTTCGATTCGACTCGTCTCCGCCGTATCATTTGTGTCGCAAATTGGTGAGCGAATTTTTTGCACGCCAATTTTCAAAATCATTCATCAATTTTCTCACACTATATCGGAATACTTAGACACACTTGTTCACGTGCACGGCAATATATCTCAAAGTGGCTCCATATATTTGAAAATTAATGCTTCGGAAAAGGATCCGAGCAGGAGAATTTAATTGCTTTTTTTTCGTGATTTAAAAATGATATTATCACGCTTGGTGATTTTTGAAACTAGAATAGAGGATTTCACAGTGAAATGAATCCAGCGAAATGTATGCAGAATCTCTTTTATTTTATTATGGCATTATCATATTTATGGCTAGGAATACACGTATAACTGTGAATTATTGAAAGGCTCGTTAGGCGTGAATCTCTTTTAGCTTTGGATTCTTACTTTTGCGTTCCTTCGTTGGAAATTTTGTGGACAAATTCTATCGTTAGAAAACAAGAAGTAATTATCGCTTGATAATTTTTCAATTGTAAGTAAGTAGGGGATGAAAATTATGAATTTTTCATAAAATTTACTTCGCAGCTGTTCAAAAAATCTCTTCATGATAGTTTATAGCTCGGACCGACCAAAATCGAATCGTAAAAAGTTACTCATCACATGAACCTACTATTTGAATAAAAAAGTTCTCAAGTTTAAAACCTTCTGTTTAAAATATCGTTAAACCTTCTACTTAGTCCTAGACTCTCTTAGCCTTATTTATTCATCCATCTAGAGGTAATACGGTTTGAAAACTCTCGTTTTTCCTAATTTTTCTACGCAACAATTACGTGACCTGAGCACAGTTCAGGGAATTTACTTGAAGCTCACTGGTGCGAAATTAACTGGAAAAACTTGCACTGTCTTGACAAATCAAGACTGGAAAAATGAAGACAAAAACTTTGAGACAGGGCCGATTCCAGACAGGGAAAATTAAAGACAGGAACAATTTGAGACAAGGACAATTTGAGACAGGGAAAACTTGTGACGAAAACTATCTGAATGAGGAGAGGAGCCTGCTTATGTTGGTTCAAATAAACTCACTTGATACTGATGATGGACAAAAAGAAGAAGCGCCCTGCGATAAGTGTCTCCAAATGTGACGGTCTCAAATTGTCTTTGTCTCAACACGTTTCTGTCTCGAACTGTCCCTATAAAGTATCTGTCTCAATTTGGCCCTGACTGGAATTGTCTGTCTCGATGTGTCCTAGATCCCTATTTATTTGGCCAAGAAGCCAAAAACAAAAAAAATATACATTCATAAAGATTCAATTCAACATTTTTGATGAGATTCACTCACAAACGGTTGACGAAAGTGCAAAATCAGGAGCAGAATCCGTTGGGAACACAGCAGAAAATTCCTTGATAGAAGCGACTGGTTTTCCCAGTTTAAATGAAGTTTTCATGAAGATTGGCAAAATTCTCAGACGTAAAATATGTTATGAAGATTTTTCAAAGGTTCATCATTAAAATTGTGTTTTTGTCCAGTATTTCTCTTGCAATCATCAGAATTTTTGAATTTTGCTTTAATTTGTTCTTCGTACTTTTGAAGAGAGTGATTTGAAAGAATTGCTCACATAAGTGCCAACAATTTTAATCATGAGAAACACAAGAATCACTTCGGTAAAAAAATGTAGTAGACGATCATTTTTTCCCCTTGGAGAAAATTGAGACCATCTGTTTCCGCATTCTGCTGGTAAAACTGTTCTTAGAGCATTTTGCGAGATAATGTTCTGACATGGCCAGACAATACTTTGGATTCGAAGAAAAATGAATTTCTAATATCAGAAAAAAATCCAAAAATTTAATAGTGATCCTTGTGTGACGAACTTTTCGTTTGATTAAGATTCCTTTCAAGGTCCTTGAAAGCTTGATCATTTTTAACGAAATTTCTCGTGCACAAATATTCACTGGAAAACTTGGCGGCGTTTCAGAGAATGGAGCCTCGGAGCAATTTGAACCGGGCCGCCAGCGAGACGAGCAAGCGCAGTTCGCGC